TTGGTATATTAGTGTTTCTTACTAACCGCTCCTATGATGATTCAGAGAGCACTTTTAGGTGCATTGAGATAAACAAATAAACAAATATATTGATGAGCATAGGAGGACGCACGGGAATGGCAAAGAACCGATGCAGAAATGAATTGGATCAGAATAGAAGTGCGAACAACCAAAAGAAGTAAAACTCATCGCATTGAATATGACTCGAGATAAACTGTGATTCGATGAAGCCACGACGGAAATTAAAGGAATGAACTTGCAACGTACCTTTAAGCCATATCTCTCGACTGGAACCCCATTGACCAGTTCGGATTCACTCAATAAGTCCGCGAGTAGTTGTGTGATTAGCAGTTCTACTGAAGTTTCCGTAGCCGATGTGAAAGCCAGCTCACTTTGATCACAGTGCGGCCACCTGGAGCACGGCTGCCATCAGATGTATAAGAGATTGCGCATATGCTGCATCTAATGCGACTATAGTACAAGAAATACGAGCTTTTTTACTACTATTTACAACTAATAAGATCTATAGCAGTTAATTCAAAACGAAGGAGATTGACCCACGTGTAATCTTTGCTGACTACAATCTTCACACTTTTTGCTGAAGTTGTCATATAGTCAGCAATTGGAGACATGAAAAACAGAGATGATGAAGTACAATTCTTCATGCCCTTTTCTTTGACTATGGCGATCTGTAAAAGTCTGAAGAGCGGTGAAATCAATGCGCAACAGCACTTACGATTTCCACACACCTGCTGAAGAACGGATGGCACATGATCCTGCAAAGAGATGCAATCCAAAGACAACCAATTCTGTTCACTGTTTTCCTTATTCTCTTCCTCACTACTTGCTCCTTTTTTCAACTGTGTTCGAGTAACAGAGGGCACTTCGACTAGAATTGGGGGAATTGTGTGCAGATGACAAACAACTCCACGACTGCTTAGTTACCTTCCTCAACACTGCTACCAGGCACCTGCAGCGATGATGAGTTTTGCGAACGCTTCTCAAGAGGACGATAGAGGGGATCGAACTCGCGACGAATCTGCATACAATATTTGGATAACAGCGAAATTTAAAGAACGAAAAGGAACCTGTTCCAGAGTCAATTCCGGGCAACTATCATCTTCCACGGAACCAAGATCAATCAAATCACCGTTCTGGAGGCGACTTGAGCATACTGTGTACGGTACATATAGTTCAGCGTTTACATAAGGGATGCTTTCGGATGGACTGAAATTAGTAATCCAGGGGTCAGGAAATTGGAGAAAATTATAAAAATGAAAATTGCGAGCAAAAATCAATGCTTACTCAATCGTTGGCATGAATGGCGATTCAGCGTTTGAAGCGGGTTGACTGCTGCCTTGAGAAAGTGCTAAATGTGGGATGTTACGTCACATGCATTTCTGCTGATAAACAGAAACATCAGATCCACAGACCAGGATATAACGATCCTGTGCTGCCTATCGGTACAGAAGTCTGCTCAGGTCGGTGAATTCTTGGTGGCAAAGGTGGAGGTACATCGTAAAGCACTAGAAAGATGCCTGTTTGGTGCGTTA